CACTTAGCATCACATAGAATTAAATAATCACAGAATTACCTAAGCTATAATCATTCTCTTCCCAATTACTTTTTCTCACAACTATAACTTGTAAATATATATAAAATTATTTTTATTATATGCTTAAAGCAAAATAGTCACAAAAGGCGTACACAGCTCCACAAATTATAAATAAAAATAGTATTACGCTTGAGATTTGAAATGGTAGCATCACTTTGGCTTGATGTTGCACCATAAAACCATGAAATGGACATCATCATCATCAAGGTCAGAGGAATATTTAAATGTAACTGGAATGACTGCATTACTCCAACTCAACCGAAGTGGTACTAAAATACGTGTTCATGGAATATAGTTTATAGCAGCTCTGGTTTAATGAAAAAACATGCGGTACTCAATTTTTAATAGAACAAATACAACAATAAAAGAAATGAAAGTATCTACTATAAGTTAAAATAGACATAAGTGAAGTTTAACATAAAGCTTGGGTAGTATTTAATAGAGCGAGGATAATGAGATTCAACATAAAACAAGGGTGAAAATAAATAAAAATAATATATAAAAATATTATTATTAATCATATATGTAACCCATATGTTGTAAGTATTTTGTATATTTTTATATAAATGTAAATATATAATGCTTTAAAGAAAGTTACTAAAGAGTGAAAAAATATTTATGCATATATTTATCTTCAACATTAAATATTCATTAAATCAGAGAATAAAAATTTTAATAAAATTTTGGCAAAAAAAAATTATTATATTATTATTAATAAACCCGTAGTCCTTAATGTAATATTACATTTAATTTTCATTCCTTCCATTTGCATAGTTTTTAATGTATAATGAATAATTTTTCATGTTAAAAATAAGGATTGCACATATATTTTAATTAAAACATAATAAGAAACGTCAGTGTAATATGTGGTGTTAAATTTTTTGGCACTTCTTTTATAAAAGGACTTGACTTACACGTAGTCATCCTTATTCAGATGAAAGTAGCAGACGAACACAATACAAAATGCATTTATTTTAGTTAATTAAAATTTCATAAGGTAAGGGCATATAAAATCCAACTGACATTAAAAATATATAGTGAATATAGGGTGTTAGGTTAATTTATAAATCGAACTCCATATAAGGTAAGATCAGTATTACATTACAAATAAAATGTTTATAAGTAAGTATATAATTGCTTCATACATCGTATGATAGTAACAATTTTCATAATAATACTGCATTATTATAAAGTTAATCAATAGAGGTTTCTTCGTATGATACTATAGCTAATCATAATTGTTTAATAATTTTCCACAAAGATTCAGGTACCCAAATATGAAATAATAATCCGGATTGCACAAATAAATCACGCGAACATAGTGGAAAAGATGAAAAAACTAAAAGAGAACTAGCGAACGATAGAGTCAAAATCTTTAAAGCGAAGAAATTGGACCTAGAAAGGCGAAGCAGAAATTAGGGTAATAAATAGGGCAGACACCAAAAAATGTGGTGAAAAAATGGAGGTGTGGACTTTATAATAAAAAAAATAAATAAATAAAAGAGATCCTTTTCGAAGTAATGCGAAAACGATTCCGGGGGAAAGAAGTCTTCAAAGAGACTTAGTCCGTATATTACATATTAATATGATACAGAATCCGTCGGTTTCACGGTACATGTGGCATTCCACCTATTCAACAAAAAAAAAAAAATTTGTGAACAATTCAAAAATAAAGCCATCCTAGTTTCGCAATAGAAGAGTACTTTATAGAAGTATCTTATTAACTTTTCAGAAGATGTATAATCCCCTACGCATTGGAAACAATTATCGAATTAGATGGAAGGACGAGCTCTATGATAAATAGC